AAAGAATATAAGAATATACACATTAACTATAACTATAAATATATTTATCTATACTTCTGGGAACTCTGGTGGCATAGTGCCTAAGGCATTTGACTGCTAACCAGAAGGCTGGCGGTTCAAACTTGGAAGGAAGATTGGGCAATCTACTTCCATAGAGATACTGCCTAGGAAACCCAAGCAGGGGTTGCTATGAGTTAGGACCGACTCGACAGCAGTGAGTTTGGTTTTTTGGTTTATCTATACTTCTAAATACAGACTACTGATGTAGAATTTTATGTGATGTGAATCCACATAACAATCAGCAGAATCATTCTTTCCTTTGAAATTGACCAAATTAAAAAAGTAGAACCAAGGTTGAAAATTAGTTTTACACTTCCCCCTCCTTGAATGAGTAAAATAAATTTTTTACTGGAGTGTATTTTTGTTAGCATCTACTGCTTTTTCTAGTGAGAGGAAAAAATAAAGATTTTTATGGACTGAAAGTAGTCATTAAAGTAATTGAAATTTATTCATTAAAGTAACTGAAATGTTAGGAACAATACAAACTATAGATGGCTATGCAACATATTCAATTAAAATAAAAATATCAACAGCAATCGAAAGAAAAAAAGTATAAAAGCTACAATTTATAACAAAGAATCAACCCAAGAGTTTTACAATTCAGATTTCTTTAAAAGTTCCAAATATTTTCTTGGCATAAAATATTGGCAATGTGATCATTTTAATACTAACCCTTCTTGGTACATACTATTGATAACTCATAATTATCTTTCTTCTATTACTTTTGCACTTACCTCTTTTTTAGGACGATCAGATACAAGGCTATCTTCACCCACTGGGTAGGTATGGATCAGTACCAATTCACACCTCTGAATCTGCATGAGACTTAAAAAGAAACTTTTCACTTAAAATGTAGAACACACACTATGTAAAACAGGCAGGTGAAACTACTAAAAATTTAATACACTAGAACAATGTATCTCTATAATCACTACTGTGAACACAAAGCTAAGTATTTACACATCATGCTTGATAAAGCAGAGGGTCAGCAAAAAAGAAGACGACTCTCCAAGAGACGGACTGACACAGTGACTACAGCAATAGCCTTGAGCACGGCAACGACTGTGAGGCCGGCACAGGGGCAGCCAGTGTTTCGTTCTGTTGTACAAAGGGTCACTATGAGTGAGAATTGACACAATGGCACCTAACAACAACAATATAATTGCTGCACTTGTATGAGCACTTAATGAACAATTTATACAAATCTAACTCAAATGAAAAATATAATAATATTCTGTGTGCTTAAAGGATAAAATAAAGAGAAAATTCCAATAATTAATCATAATTTCCAATAGAAAATTGCCACAAAGAAAATGGATATACAATTATTCATTACCCTTTTACTATTGTTTTTTAAGGACAAAATCAAGCAATGTTAATCATTATCTTTCATTGGTTATTTTTGAGAATTACAATCCACTGCCATCAAGTCAATTCCAACTCATAGCAATCCTGTAAGACAGACTAGAACTGCTCCATAACGTTTTCAATACTGTAAATCTTTACAGAAGCAGACTGTCTCATATTTCTCCCCTGGAGTGGCTGGTGGGTTCAAATTGATGACCTTTTGGTAAGCAGATGAATGTTTTAACCAGTGTACTACCAGAGTACCTTATATTAAAAATAAAGAATTATGTTAAAAAGTTTCAACTTTTTACGTTGAAAATTTCAAACCTATAGAAAAGTTGAAAGGAAAGTACTATTCAACTAACACCTACATCCTTCACCCAGATTTACTCCTAGCTACATTTGCTTACTCTATATACATAAATGGATGAACATCCTTTTATTTAATGAAACCATTTAAGTTGCAGAAGACATGATACTTCACTCTGAAATACTTCATTATGCTTTATCAAGTGAAAATTTTCTTCCTCATAATCCTAACACCATTATGCCACTTAAGAAAATCAATAATAGTTCAGTCTAATATACAGTCCACGTTGTGACCATCCTAAACATGTCTTTTGTATATTTCTTTTTTTAAAAAAAATTCACATTGCAACTGGCTGTTAGGTTTTGATTTGGATCATACTAAAAAATTCCACCAACAATTTGCTCATTTTACTAATTTATTACACAAGGTATGAAAGTGAGGCATCAAAACATTATAAACTTAAGTATTGATTTGGGTGAAGGGAAAGGCAATGTACCAAATGTGAGTGATCAACACAGTGGCACTGAGGAAGAGGAAGACATAGAGAAGTACATAGGAGGTAGAAACAACAAAGATGAACCCTTCTGCATATACAGTACTGTGTTGTCAGTGATGGAAAGCACTGATCTATGGGTGGATAGGTGGGTGGACATGCTGAATGATCAGGTATGCCTAGGCAGGGGTAGGGTGTCCATGAGCATATACAGGGTTGGCAGATGATGTTTCTACAAGTATATTTGTATGTGCTGTAAGAATGTCCAGGCATAATGTAAAGCAGAAAAGCAGCAAGGTTGTCGTGACTTCTTGGCCACAGCCAGCTACCCTAAGGAAGTGAGCAGTTAGAGCTCTGGGCTCAGGACTATGGTTGCAGGGGACATCAAGTTCAACTGGCATAACGTACTATAAAAAACACTGTTCTACATCCTACTTTGGTGAGTAGCACCTGGGATCTTGAAAGCTTGAAAGCGGGCATCTAGATGCAACAGTGGGTCTCTCCTCACCCAGAACAAAGAAGAATGAAGAAAACCAAAGATGCAATAGAAACAATAAGGCCAAAGGACTAATAGATCATGCAATCCTCAGCCTATATGACCATGAGACCATAAGAACTGGATGGTGCCCTGTTACCACTGTCAACCACACAGAAGGGGATCAGTGCAAGAGATCCTGGATAGAGTGGGAGAA